CCCCCCCCCCCCCCCCGCTTGCCCAAAGTGGGGGTCCCTGCTGGGAATCCTCAGACTTGAAACCTCAGCTCTCCGTGTGCTGCTCCAACGTCAGGGGTCAAGTCGCTTCCCCGCTCGCCCCCACAGGAGCCGGCGTCCGGAGCCCCACACTGGGGTGTTCATACCCTCTCTCCTCATTCACCTCCGCCACAGACGGTAGGTGGCGTGACGCCCTGTTCACAGTTTGGACACAAAGGCCGACTCAACTCCAGACAGGTGACCGCACTACCTGGTTGGTCAATCCTGAGCTCCCACTGGGCCTCGAGGCCCCTCCTAGGGCCAGCCACTCACCTGGCAGAGACCACGCGTCTGTGTGACAAGTGCGGCCAGCCATAACTGGACAGGGCGCGTGCGCTCTGCCATAGCTGAACGGTAGACAGAGACGCGGCCCCGGTAAGGCAGTGAGAGTGAGGACAGACTAGGCCAGTGGGCCGGGGGCAGGAGCTCTCCGCTTGGATGGTGGAGGAGGATCTCGAGCAGGCTGATACGCTCTTGGTATAGGGCCTGACCGGTAGCAAAGCCGTGCAGCCCCCACCCCCATGCCAGCAGCTGGCACTTAACTACCCAAACCTCTCTCTGATTACAGGTTGCTTATTCATCGAAGAGAACTTTTCTTTGAAGTGTCCCAAACATAAGGTAGGTGGCCACGACCTTCCCTGAAGGGCTCCAGGCTGGAGAGGAGGCCCTTCCCCTGCCCTCGCTCCCCAGGCCTTGTGGGCCACCCCCTCCCCCCGAAGAACAGGCCCCACCTGCGGCACCCACCACCCCACCACCAAGTTACTGGCCGTTAATCAGAGGGCGGCTTTGGGAACCAGGCAGGTGGGCCCCAGTGGGGACAGAGGAAGGAGAGGTGGGGCTTACAAGAAAGGCCAGCCCGCGGCTATGGGGGGCCAGGCCACCCCTAGCCACAAGGCCCCGGGCACGTGGGTGTGGGGGCACGTGGGTGTGGGGGCACGTGGGTGGGGCCTGCAGCAGGCGGTCTGAGTGGCGACTGCCCCAGGAGCGGGCGCCCCTCCAGCGCGCCCCGGGACCTAACCGGCAGTCGGGCGGTTCCTTGTCTTGCAGAGGCTGCCGTTGTAATTCACCCCAACGGCCGGAGAAGCGCCGGAGCCCGCTGGCCACCGCAGGAGAGGAGCCGCCGGCGCGGCCAGGGGCCTTTGAGCTGTCCCAACGCGGGTCCGAGCCGATCCTTGATCCGGACCCCGGGTCTTGGATCTGGCCGCCGTGGGCTGAAACTGGCGGTCCCGGGTTGGGAAGAAAAAGCGTTCCGGAGCCTCCCGCTCCCGCAGGCGACGAGACTGGGGTTCTTGAGCACCCCCGCGGGGCCAGGCTTGGAGAGGGGGAGCCCGCGGGTCGCCGGGCTCCTGGAGGCGTCCGGCCCCGGCGGGGTGGGGGACGCCGTTAGCCGGAGCTGCTCCTGCCTGGGCAGCGCCAAGACGACGTGGCATTCATTCCACGTGGGTGCTGCCGCGCTCCGGCCGGCTGTGGCCTGCAGCTGGGCAGCCCGGGGCTAAGGTTAGGGGTCCAGAGGGCCCTGGGAGCGGCCACGGGCCGAGGACGAGGCGAGGGGGAGGGGGGCTGAAGCCTCTCCGGCGCGGGCCGGGCCAGCGGGGGAGGGGGCCGTAGGCTCCGGACGAGCCGTCTGGGGCGCGGCCAAGCGCCCTTCCTCCAGCCTTTGCCAAAATTTTGGTGAGACGCAGGCAGAGCCGCAGGCTGGCGGATGTGTCCGCGGCGGGTGCTCAGAGGGTGCGGGCTCCCGGGCTGCGGGCAGGACTGGGGCACCTCTTGGCTTCTGTTCGTCCCCTTCCAGTCCTCCACTCCATCCCTGGAGCCCGGCCTGGGAGCGCAACAGTAAAGGAGTCGCGACCGGAGCGCACCGGCGGAGTCGTGCGGATTGGAGACCGTCCCTCTGCGCCATCGCCGGCTCCAGAGACCGCCGGGCACGCGAGCAGAGACAGCGCTAGATTCGTGTACAAACCTGTGTACCCCTCTATATATATGTTACATAGAATGTATATATGTTGGGAACATGCTCGCTTCTCCTGTGTCACCGCCGTGCGTCGTGCCCCTCTGCACAGGGCCCTTGCCAGGGAAGGGGCCACCGCGATGCCCTTGCCCCACGCAGTCACCACAGGCCCTGCCAGTTCGTCTGCCTGTCCGTCTGCGTCCTCAGCTCTGTCCACGCTTCAATGGGCCTGACGCAGCCCCCAGACCGGGCCGCCCTAGCAACTTCTTGTACATATGACTGTAAAATGGTAAACGTGTGTATTATATCTGGCCTCGTTATATAGTGTATATATATGTATACATATACATATATATAATATATATGAAGACTGTAAATGTTAAGACGACTAGTGTTCTTATTAGTATATTGCTTCACACTGAAGATTGTGTGTATCGAGCTGTTTCTAAAAGATGTTTATTTTCCTTAAGAGTAAAAAACAGTCATTGCATTCAGAAAAAAAAAGTCAATAAAGATACAACGATTGTTTTGGAAGTCTGCAGCCTGTGGATTCTGAGCAGATTCTGCTGTGAGAGAGCGAGGCTTTAGCTGGGGGGAGAAGAGGGATGGGGGTGGACAAAAACCAGAGTCAGGGGGTCTGCGGGAACAGGAAATAAGCCCTTTGAGTGACAGGTCATGATGGGGGTGCAGGCTCTCAGGTGTGAAGGGGCAGTGGGTAGGGAGGCAAGACTGACATCCCATAGATAAGGTTGCAGCTCCTGTCACCTTTATCCTTGGGGACACTGGTTCTCCCGTGTTAGGCTGGAAGCTGTGAGAATCTAAGCTGAGGGGCTGGAAATGACGGGAGACCACAATGACCCTAAGGGTGAGAGGTTGGTACAGCCTAGTGGGATCCAGGCCTCCCTGGACAACAGGAGAGAACTTTGTGCTTTACGATGGGTGGGGTAGGAAACATTTGCCTGGGTGCAGGGTGGAAGGGAAGGCCCAAGGAACCCCCAGTTGGTATGTACCTCAATTGAAGCACGTACCCTTTTCCCCAAAGGAACATAACCCAGATTATAAATAATTTCATTTTTTATTCTCTGTACAAAACTTCTCATTCTATGAAAATAAAGTTTGCAAAATGCAAGTAGCACGTGAGCCTCAGAAGCGCAGAGGCTGGCGCACCTTCATCTAAACTATGTACAAGAGTCCCTGAAAGGGAGAGAGGCTTAGTAAGGAGGCCCGGCTATGACCTGGAAAGCCAAGTTGAGTCCTCCCAGTTCAGTGAAATGTACCCTTCTCTTCCTCTAGATTGGCCCTCTAGACTGGAGAGTGGGGGAAAGCCACAGGGGCCTGCGAGGAAAGAAAGTGACACCCGCCTGGGCTGGCCTCTGCAATCCCCCGATCTGCCACCAGAGGTCAGCACCACCCTGGCTGCCGCTCAATGGGTTGGGGTTGGGGCAGGGGCCGGGGGTTGGGGTCGCACCCGTGTGACCTCCCAGGTCGAGACAAAAGTCCCCGCAGGTCTCCCATTCTCCACTTCTGAGACAGAGCCATCCAAGAGTGATTCGGGGACACCAGCATCTCTGGCGCTGCCTCCGGCCATTGAGGCTCCAGCTTGGGAAACAGGCTGAAATTGGGCAGTGGGAGACACAGGCACTAGGTAGGATTGCGGCCTTGGCGATGGTCTAGCTGGAGGTGACAGTGGTCCCGCCGCCCAGACGCATGAGCATCTGCTGGCAGTCCTGCAGCAGCCGATGGTCACCCAGCTTCTCGAGTGTGCGGGCTGCCTCGGCTAGCATGCCCACGCGCTGCCCGGGCGCCGAAAGGAAGCCGGGTGGCAGGTAGCAGGAGGCCAGCAGCAATGCCTCTGCGTGCTCACGCCTCGTGGGCTGTGGCTCCAGCTCTGTCGTGGTGCCTGAGAACAACAGAAGGGCACCATGGGGTGGGGCCGAACGTGGCCACGCCCACCAGGACCACCCAGCTCGCAGAAGCCCCGCCCCACGCTCCTCCAACTCAGCTTGGCTGCAGCGAAGTCCCTCCCCCTCCCTCCGCAGGGCCTGCCCCCTAGAACACACGCGGCCACGTGGGCAGCCACGTGTCCTTCAAATGGCAGTAGCCCCGGCCTCCTCCCGGGGCATCCATCACACCCACCCCGGGCACTTGCCCTGCGCAGCCCCCTCACCTTTGCCGCAGGGTCCTGCCCTCCTCCTCAGGCTGCGGTCCAGGAGCTGGTGTGTCCGTGTGGGGCTGGCCCCTGCCATCAGGCGGGCGGTGGCCTCATGTAGGAACACCTGGTTAGGAAGAGGTCAGGAGAATTGGGGGTTCAGTCCTGGTCCCTACTCTTCCCTGCCATCTGCTACCACATGTGCCCATTGTGAGGTGAAGGCCATGGGCACTCACCCTCCGCATGGCGGGTCGGAAACTCTGTGCCAGACGCCTCAGGCCGCTCAGGTCCCGCTGGAAGCCACGCAGCTCCAGGGCTGAGGCCTGGGGCGCGCTGCCCGGGCCCTGGCAAGTCTGAGCTGCTGCCGGTGGCTGCTGCCTCCGCCACAGGCTAGTGCGTGCCACCAGGAGCAGGTCACACAGGAGCAGCTGCATGGCCTGGGGGAGGGGGAGCAGGTCAGGGCTCATGGGGCTTCAGCTCTGGGATGGCAAGGGTAGGGGCCCGCGGTGCCAGGGGCCGGCTCCGGGCTGCACTGCCGAAGCACTGCACCCGCCTCACACACGTGCAATGCAACAGCAATGCACCGCGGGGCCGCCCGCCTCTCAGGCCCCCGCACCCGCCGCCTGCCAGGAAGCAGCCTCTCAGGAGGGCCCTGCCACGCAGCCCACCCCACCCCCTCTGTGATGGGAAAACAGACCAGACAGAGGCAGCCACTCTCCCCTGAGCGCTGAGTGAGAACGCAAAGTCAGCCAGGCCCCCAGTCCTATGCCGAAGGGCTAACCCCATAATCTTCTGCGGGTCAGGGGGAGCAACCGGGTCCCCGCCCTGAACCCTCACCTTGTCAATGGAGCTGCTGGCTGAGGTGGAGGCCAGGCTGTCGCGCAGGTACCCACTGGCCTTCTCACAGCTGGCTAGGCTGGCAGGGCCAGACTCCGCCTTCCCACAGTCCAGCAGGGCCCGGACGGCCTTGAAGGAGTGTAGAGCTGCCCTGGGCAGGGGTCTCCTGTCAGAGGCAGGACAGGAGAGTGAGGGCCAGGTCCTGGGCCGCCTCAGTCACCGAGGGCAGAATCCGCCTGCACTCACTCAGACTCCAGCAGGGCGCGGGGCAGCTGCCCCACCAGCGGGTACAGCCGCTCAGCCGCCTCCTCGTCCCGCCGCAGCCAGTGTGTCACCACGGTCGTCAGCGAGGCCCACCACTTGGCCACAGGGTCTACGCCTGGAGGAGCAGGGGGCTCCCTGAAGTCCAGCCACACTGCCCCGAGGCTGGGCGGGGAGCCGGGGCGGGGCCCGGGGGCTTACCGGTGGTGGTGGTCGTGCTGGAGCTGATGGAGAAGCTGCAGGCGGGAGTCCCGGCAGCATCACAACAGCTGTTCAGCAGCTGCAGGTACCCGAGGGCGTCCGAGAATTCCCTGGGGCAGACGAGGACAGCTATCAGGACTGGGGCAGGGGTCCCTGGCGGGCAGGGGGCCTCCTCCCCGCCCACCATAGCACAGCCTGAGCTCCGGGCCCCTCTGTGCCACCTTCTCCCCGGCTGGGGGGGAGCTGAGAGCCAGCAGGAGCTGAGATACGCAGGGCCACACACTGAGCACACACTGGCCGAGCTCGGCTACCTACAGGGGGCCGGACAGTCACCCCCAGACTCCACCGTGGAGGGCTCCAGCTGGTGGGGCCCCCAGGGCAACTCACTTGTCCCCATCAGCTGCTCCAGGGCTGGGGCTGGGTTGAGCCACACAGTTCAGCGCTCGCTCCAGGAGATGTTCACGGAACAGCTGAGTGACCTGGGCCAGGGGGTCCACTGTGGAGGAGTGGGGGAGTGGGGGAGTGGGGCTGGTGCCCCGCCAGCGGGTATAGCCGCTCGCTCGGCTGCCTCCTGGCCGCCTCCGTCCCCCATTCACCTCTGCGCCCCAACGGCTTTCCTGAGTACTCAAGCAGGCTCAGCTCTGGGATAGACACAAGTTGGGGGATAAAGGGCCGCCCTGCCCTGGGAGAGGGCAGCCAACCTTGCGGTGGTGCATCTACTGCTAATCTAGCCCGAGCAGCTTTGTGCCTGCCCTGTCTGACGGTTTCCTCCACCGTGGCATTGTCTGGCGCCCGCCCGCAAATCCTTGTCCCCGTGTTTGCTCGAGAAGAGCCTCAGCTGAGACAGAGCCCAGGCCTCCCTGCACCCCCACAGCAACGACAGACAGTGGGGCAATGGACAGATGGACAGGGACAGCTAGAGATAAGGGACAGGCATGGGGCAGGAAGGAGGGTGTGGGGCACAGAGGATGGCAGTGGGGAAGAGGTGGGGTGCGGGGCGGGCAGAGGGCGAGAGGGCACCTGGGTTCCCTGCCAAGCTGTACAGGCTCTCCCGCGGGGCACTGCACACGGTCCAGTCGCCATCCACGAAGAAGCGGTGGCCCACAGGGTGGCAGAGCCACTGCATGGCAAGAGGAACCGAGCCACTCTGTGCCAGGCAGGCCTGGCGGGCACTACTCAGGAAGAAGCGCTGTGGGGAGGGAGCTGGGCTGTCACGCGGCCCTCGGCAGGGGCTCACACCCGGATCCTGGGCTTCGGCTCCGGGTCAGCCTGGGGCCCACCCCACCCCAGTTGCGGTATTCTGTGTAACCCCGGCCTAGGGTGCCATAGTCAGGGCTGCACAGACAAGCCCCCAGCTCTGCCCCACCTCCGCCAGCTCCCACCCACTTACTGTCAGAAAGTGCAAGGCCCGCGGGAGACTGGTCTTGACCCTCAGTGCAACTGCAACATAGATCTCAGCCATTGTGGCCACGGACACAGCGTCTCCCGCACATTCTGCCAGGTTCAGGGCACTCAGTGCCAGGTTGGTGGCAACGAGGTGCCCGCCTATGTACTTCCCTGGAAAATGGGCAGGCGTGAGGCTGGGGTGTGGCGCAGAGGCGGTGGGAGTGCCTGGGGCCCAGCTCCCTGCCCGCCATACCCATAGTGTGCAGCTGGTGCAGCTTGTGGTACACGAGGGCCGCGTCCCGGGCGCTGGCTCGAGCGTCGGCCTGCAACGCGCTGTCCCTTTGCAGGCCCCCCGCCTGGCCGGCCAGCCAACGGCCCACCCAGAGCCGTTGCAGCAGGTGGCGGATGAGGTTCCAGAGCAGACTGCAGGCCAGGTCCAGGTGGGAGGCAGGCAGAGGCCGACCCAGGGCCCGCAGGGCCAGCCATAGTTGCTGGGCAGCCTGGGCAAAGTCCCCCTGAGGACCAAGGTTTTCCAGGTGAGAAAAGTAGGGTCAGAAGATCCCAAGTACATGTGACCCCCAGGGGCCCGTGGGGGTCTATGGGGTAGACTAGAGCGGGGAAGGTGGGGTACATTCACAGTGTGCCCCGAGGATAGGGGAGAGGGGCGAGGCCTACCCCCTTCCCAGGGGCTGCTAAATCCCCGCCTGCCTGGCCTACTCAACACGTTCCCTGGCCTTACCCGTGCCAGGTCCAGGTCAGCCTGCTTTCGATGCCTCCAGAAGTGCACAGCGGGGCCTGAGTGTGGCCGCGTGACTGGCTCTCCGCAGACAAAGAGAAGTGCCAAGGAGATCAGCACTAACAGCCCATTAGTCAGCCAGACCAGGGGGGGCAGCAGCCACGGGGCCCAGCCGGGGCCATCTGAGAGCAGAGAGGAGGGCTGGGGACACAGCTCCCAGGAGGGCAGGGCCCAAACGCGGGTCAGGACTCACACCCAAGTCCCCCTTCCCACTCGCTCCCAAGATGCCCAGGCTGACCTGTCATACCTCTGCTCTTGGTGCCCAGCATGTTGCGCCCATGGTAGATGCTGGTGGCATACGAGGAGCCAGAGAGACCCCAGCTGCCCAGCAGGGAGGCCAAGGGGTTGCAGGAGAGACAGAGAAAGACAAGCATGCACAGGGCCAGGCGGGAACGGTCCAGCATGCCCCGGCTGTGGGGGGACAGCAGCTGCTCTGGCTTCACCTGGTAGGGGCGGGCAGGGCAGGAGGTCAGAGTGGCAGTGGCCCAGGCAGCATGGACTGGGGCCCTCCGCCCACCCTGACAGCGGGGCACTGCATGGCTCCAGGCCTCAGTTTCTCTTTGTATGAAATGGGAGGTGGACTATGTTACGGGTTTCTCCCTGGCCAGTCCTAGACTCAGAGGGTATCACTAGGGGACAAGAGGCAAAACTGCACCCAACCTGGCTGTCCTCGAAGACGGGGCTGTCCGGCTCCGAGTCACTGCCGCTGCCACCGCTGCCGCTGCTCCTGCTGCCCATCGACAAGGGGCTGCTCTGGGACGGGGAGCCGGCGTCCGAGGGGGGCGGGCTCAGGGTGTCCACCACCTCAGGCTTCATGCCCTCCATGCACACATCTGTGTTCCTTCCACTGCCACAGCTGGACACCAGGTCCTTCAGAGACTCTGTAGGCGAGAAAGAAGCAAGGGGTGTAAGGCTATGCACCCCACTCCACCCCAAAGCAGCGCAGGGCCAAGCCTGGGCCGCAGCCAGGGGCTGAGGTGAGCCGGGACTCACTACTTTTGTGGGCCGCGTTGCGCAGACTGAGGTTCTCCTGCTTGAGTTTCTGGTTGCTCTGTTGTAGGAATCGGATGTAATCAATGGCCTTACGCAAGACAGCAGATTTATTCAGCTGCAAGGGGTAGGAGGGAGACAGCAGAAGTGGCCAGTTAGGCCTAGCAAATGAGTACGTGGCAAGGGGCGGGGCTGCCTTGCCACACCACTGCCTCAGGATTGCGTTTGCTGGTTCTTCTACAAGGAATGTTCCTGCCCTAGGAGTACCTCCCTTGCAGGATGGACCTAAGGGTTAACATGCAAACTGCAATCAGCGATTGTCTGCTAGCTGCTATCACTGTTATTAACATCTTCAGGCCTCACCCCCACACCTCCTTTAAGTCTCTGGTAATACAGCACCCAAGGGGGCCTTCCCTGACCACTGGACTGCGTCTGACAACTCTCACCAGTTCTCTTGTTTTCTTTTCCTCCGTAATACTGACACGTATCTTGTTTATTTTCATCCCTCCCTCTGCACACTTGCACTAGAACAGCAGATCCCGGACGGCGGGATTGTTGCCTGCTTTTCACTACCACATCCCCAGTGTCTAGAATTGCCCCTGGCACACAGGAGGCCCCTATAGTTCAAGTGAATGACAAGGCTGTCCAGGCCTGAGGAGACAGACCCCAAGGCTCTCTGACGAACTCGGCTGACCCCTTTCCTCCTCCCTGTCCACTCCCCGCCGCCCCACCAAGCCCCAGGGCTGCCCCAGGCCCTGCCTCTGCCTCTTGCCGCACCTTCGCTTCAGTGCCCACCACCAGGTCCTTGAGCTCGACGATCTTGTCGTTGATGGAGGAGCGGTAGCGTTTCTCGATGGCATTGTGGGCTGTGCGCTTCTCCCCACGGCTCTGGGCGGAACCCAGGGTCTTGCTGCCAGCTACCAGTCGGTTGATGGGCAACTTGTCAGTATCCACTACCAGTGGTACTGTTGCTAGGATGGTTCCACCACTCACCAAGGTCTGCAGGGCCAGGCACGGGTCACTAGGTGGTATGCATGTGGCAGACCCCACACCCTTCCACTCTGCCCCTGCCACCCACCTGCAAGGGCCCTGTCTGCACAGTGGCACCGGGAGCCAAGGAGCTGATATTTGCTCCCTTCATGGTGGTTCCCAGGTCTGTTTTCATGGTCGTCAGGAGAAGCGAATCTGTCTTGATAAAGTGGGGCTGCAGCAGGACCTGGGGATGGCAGCGGTCTCACACACGAGCTACGTGACTGGGCCAGGGCCTGCCACCCCTCCAACAGCCAGCTCAGTCCCCCTTACCGGGACCTGCTGGATCTGTGAGGTCACGGTTGTTGTTCCAGGGGCTGCTGTGGGGGTGGCCGTGGCCGTCAACATCTGCTGGGGTACTGCACTCTGGACCTGGGTGTGCAAGGAGACGGGCGGGACCCCTGGCAGGGAAGCCAGTGGCAGGCTAGGCAGCGGCTGTGGGGTGCTCCCTGGAGGGGTCCCTGCAGAGATAAAGGCTAGGGCTGTGGGCACAGGCTACCCTACCCCGATTTAAACCTGTCCCTCTGGTCCCTGTAACTGTATGATCTCGATGGTCTGTTTCCTATCGGCGCAGACCCTGCTAGGGCTTGGGGCTCATGTCTAGCAGATGCACGAGCTTTCGAGTCGGTTATGTGTCTCTGGGAGGGGAACATGGATGTAGCCAACCCAGGTGGAATGGGAGGCAAGGCTAGCCCCAGAACGCCACCACCAGTAACGCTAGTAAAGGGGCATCTCAGGCCTCGGGGTAGAGTCCTGCTTTCCTAAGCCTGAAAATTCCCCTAAGAGCTGAGCAGACCCTCCTTCAGTACTCCTGCCCCCCTTCCCGCCATATGCCGCCTTACCTGTAGTAAAGCCTGCAGAAGGGCTGGGATAGCCCAAAACAGGGGCAGGGCTGAACTGTGATGGGGCCGGTACTGGAAAGCTCTGGGGCAGGAGGGCCCCTGGTAGAGGCTGTGGGGTGGGGGGCTGCAGGATGGTCAGTGGCACTGGCTCCTCCTTGATACCAGGCCCAGGGGAAAAGGCAGGCACAGATGAGTACAACTTCAGTGGGGTGGGCGCAGGCTGGGGAGGGGACAAAGGTGGGGGTGTTGCCTTCGGCCCCCCCAGGAAGCTTTCAAGTGGGGAGCTCATTGTGACAGGAGGTGGGGACAAGCTGCCCTGGGAGCTGGCATCTGGGCTGCCAGGGTCTGGGTCACCTGTCCGGCCCCCCGCATAGGGTGGATCGAACAGGCCCGGAAAGTCGCTGTCTTGGTTGTTGATGAGCTGAAGCATGTCTGGAGAAAGGAGAAGGAGAAGAGACTGTGTGAGCGACTGTGGGGCTGGGGCTCCCCCCAGACAGGCTTCTCACATCTGCATGTCCCGTATCCACACACTTGAATGTGCAATGCCACCGAAACAGAAAACCACCCACGTGAACCTCTGCTCCCAGACACACAGCCACTTCGTGGGCACCTGTGACATCTGGAGCAATGCCTGTGGTCCACTTGTACGAAACAGCCCTTGCAACAGCTGAACAAGGTCAATGCCTTGCAGGTGCCAGGGCCCCCCAACACCCATTTGCTAGACTGAGGCAGAACTGCCATCACCAACCCAATCCTCCATGGAACAGACGGAGCCTGGGGGGAGGGGGGAGGGGTCAGCTGCTGGCCATGTGTGTGCCAACCAGTGTGTCCCTGCATGTTCCGGGCACTAACCCAGATCCTTTCTGGAGCCAACTAGCCCCAGGACCTGGCCATTCAGGGCTTTGGTTTCTCCTCCGTAAAAGAGAATGCTGTCTGTCCTGACTCCTTCCTCCTCGTACAGACTGGGCCACACTCCCCGCCTCAGCCTGGCCAGTGGGCCCTCTCCCCCAGCTGGCGACCAGCAGCCTGGCTGGGTCAGCTGGGGCCCTCTAACCCACTGGGTGAAAGTGTTCGCTCCACAGGACCCATGTGCACAACACTGGGAGGCAAAGGATCTCCCAAACTCTCAGCCTGAACTCCCAGTCACCACAACTGACTTGGTCTGGACCAGTAACCTTCTCTCACAGCTCCTCAGTTTCCTTGTCAGTGCAACAAAAAAGATTAAGCCCCTTGTGGCAGCTGCTTTGCTGGGCAGGCAGCTGGCAGAGTGAGAACCCAAAATTGCCCCACTCCTTCCCACTGACAGGTGCACAGTCAGGAAATTTACCACAGAAGGGGACCTTCCTAAGACCTCCACTGGAGCAAGAGAAGGGTGCCAGGGTCCCTGGGTCCCTTCCTGGGTCCTCAAGTACAAACACTTTGTGGTCCTCCATGTATATGCAGGACATAAAGGCAAAAGGTACTTCACTTGCATGATCTCTCATCCCTCATGAGCTCCTTTGACGGATAAGAAAACTGAGGTTAAAAAAAAAAAAGGCTGACTCCAGGGTTCCCACTATCTGCCTGGTGTGTCTAAGACACCCCCCAAACGGAGGGCTCCCTGGGAAGGAGGACAAACGGTCCTCCTCCTTGCTTCCTTCCTCTCTGCTCCAGAGGGAAGCAGAGGGGGACCCAAAGTTGGGAAGCAGGTTACTAGTGAGGGTGCTCCCGAGAGCAGAAGCAGGTTCGCCTCCCCCTGGCTCTTTCCATGTCAGAGTTCAAAACAGCCTCCACACACACACACTCCCCACTCTGGGCACCGGGGTGGTGACCCCGCCGCGGAGATGGAGGCTTTGTAATAAAGGGATTGGGGTCCTCCAAAAATACCTTCGAAAGTGCAATCCATGGCTCCGCGGCCCGCGCCAGCCGCCCCCTAGGGGCGTCCAGGCGACTGGCCTGCCGGTCTCCGCGCCGCGCCGACTTCACCTGTCAGGGCTCCGCCCGCTTTATAGCCCGCGCAGGGCCCCGCCCCCGCCC